GCAGGACATGAGCTTGTGCTGGGAGGAAGGAGTATTTAATTGTTAGTTGTGGAGTCTGCCTGAAGCTCTCACCTGCTGCTTGTCCATCCACTCTCCATCATGCCTGCTCACTCCACTGAGAATCTTTTATTTACTCTTGCTGCTTTCCTTGCAGGTATTTGCCGGGACATCTATGGGCCCTGCTCTGGACTTTTTCTTCTAAGCAAAGCCTTGACTTGTAATTGACTCTAAAGCAAACTCACTTGCACGTGTCCCAGAACTACTGCTTGATTTTGATTAAGATTCAAATTCCTGCCTTCTCCTGTCCTCATTAACTGACAAAATTTTGCTTTTTAACATGGGAGATGACATTCTTTCTTCTTCTGAAATGGTATGGGACTTCACTGCATGGTTTCCTAAAATAGTAAAGGTGAAAAATTTTCTTTTCAAAGTGACTTTTTATTTTTTTTTTCCATTTAAACGACAGCATCCAAACAACTTCGTCTCTTCTGTAACACCTTATTTAATTCAGTTTATAGTAAACTGGATTAACTCTTTGTATTTACATAAACAGTAAATCTGCTAAAAGCCAAGACTGAAGGTGTTTTTTCTAGAACTAGGCTATGCAGTAATAGTCAAAAATTAAGCATAATTTTCTTGTTGCTCACATATTGACCTTTTTTGCAACAATTTTGTTTTTCACAACTGAATTAGGAAAGCTACATAAATCTCTTATGTAAACTTGTAGAGAAAAATATATATGGATGGTTACTTGACCTGGGGAAAAAAAAAACCTAAGAAAAAGTAATCAGACCACTCCCTCAGTGTTTGTGAGGGATCTCAACTATGTGTGCAGCAAATTAATATGAAAAACCACACCCATTGCCATTGTATCTTCCTATGTAAAATAAAAGGCAGCTAAACAAAATCCCAACATTGAAGTAGCTGCAAACATTTCTTCAGTGAAATGGTCACTGTGCCTAGAGCAGGAGCAGCAGGGGGAAGGCAATGAACTGATATTAAAAATAGGTATGTCTATCTGTAACAAAAGCAAATTACACTTTTTGTCTGGCTTGAGAAAACTTTCAGACTTGATAGGTGAAGGTTAGATCAATAAACAATCACATTCATCACTTTTTGTATATTAGGGCAGACACAGTAAGACAGTTGTTGGGGGTTTTGCTTTTAAATAGCTTTGTTTATTTTAGTCAATAGTAGCATAGGCATTCAGGCTCTGGACAGACATCCATGGAATTTAGCTGTCCTTTTGCAATTGTAAAGCAATTTCCAGTGTGGAAATGTGGATTGTCTTGCACAAGACAATTACTTAACTGTTACTAGTCTACACTGCCTTGTTCTACATATGCTAAAGTGGGACAAGACTAATTAAGCAAGTAAACTGATTTTTAAATTAGGCAGTAATTTGATTATGGATGTTACACAACTTCATTCCACATAAATCCTAACAATCCCCTGGCAGACTGAGGTGTGCACTCAGAAACAGGTGATAGGCTCCTTACAGTACAGACTGCAACATCTGACTTGGTTCAATTGTCTTTTATGAATCAAATGGCCCAGGAGCTGCACTTCACACATGCATTTTTCACTGATTTAAACTGTGTTGTTATATTTGGTTTCAACAGATTCACTATTGGTTTCAACAGATTTCAATACTCATAGCTGAGATTAAAATTGGACCCTGGTAGTACAATCATGCTAACACACTTCTGCTTGCATGCTTCAGTTAAAGAAAGAAATTAGATGTACAACTAGACTGGTCCTTGTTTAATCAGTGGGACGTTGATTTCTGTGTGCTCTCAATTTGTCAATGCTACATCCCCTTAACTGCTTCTGGCTGTGCTACTACAGGCATTGTTCTAAGGCCTAGAGTATCAGTGCTTCATTTTCTTCAACCAGAAGCCATGTTTATTTATCAGCTGCTAAAATTATTTGGTAAATAGCATCCCTGTGTAGAAAACACAGGAGTTGGAACTGTAAGCTAGTCCCAGCAATGCAGCCAGTGGCACAGACAGAATTACTGCCTCCGACATTTTCTGCTTCCTAGGATATTAGAGTGCTACTACTTCTCTCTAAACAACCTTTCTTTCTTAACTTGAATTGCAGACAATGGTGTAATCTGACTTGGCTTCCTTTCCCCAACTTCAAAAAAAACAACCAAAACAACCCAACTGCCTCATGATAATAGTTTTAACTACCAGTTTACAAAATCAGAAGAAATCAGTTTTGCAGACACAGTCTATTTGGAAATGAAAGCACTGTGGTATCTAACATGCATGATGTCTCAGACTGAAGTATGAAATCAGTACACGTGTACTTTGGTGACAAAGTCAATTTCTTTATTGAATTAGTAATTTTTTGAGACAACAGAAAAATCTGTATTAAAAAACCACATTTGTTAACAGGCCAAGAAAGAGCTTCAGCAAAAGAGTTATAAATCAGCAGCAAGACATTCTTGGCTGAGATCTTGTTTCAGATATTTCCCCAAAACCTTCTTTTTGTGACTATATTGACACTTAATAGGTTATTTTATAAAAGGGCATATTAGACATATCCTCACATTATACCAGAACAATAACAATTAATTTTAAGTGCTTATGAAAAATAACAGAATTGTATTGTCCCAGACAGTCTTCTTACACCCAATTATTTTTGATGCTTGGTAGGTGCCATTATAACTTGTGTTCCTTGGGATTTTAATCTAAATAAACCAAACCAAAAAAACCCAAAAATTAACAAACCCCCAACAAACAACACACCAAGAATACTGCCGAGACTGAAGAGATCTAGAACTAAGTGCTGAACTCATTTGGCAGAAACAGCTGAAATCACACCAGACCCTTGTGAGGATACATTTCTGGTCAGCAGAACTGCTGGTTACAAAGCAAGAAAGTCTGCTGTGAGACAGGGTCCTTCACTGTTAGAAGCACTTTGCCATTTCTATAGAGCCATGAGATTTCTGAAGAAAGGAGTCAGACTGAGTAATCTCTTTCCAGAAGAATTTTCTCAAGGAGGACACCAAGTGGGACAAGCACCGGGAGGAGCAGGGCTACCACGGGCTGCAGGGATCGGGGCACTCCCGCAGGTACGTCTCGGTATGGCCGTCGTACACCTCCATCAGCGTGGTGCACACCGTCAGCTAAGGGGCACAGGGGGGAAGAGGAAAAAAGAAAATCAGCCACATTACAGGAATTAGTGAAAAACTCTCTGATACAGCTGAACGGTTCTACTAAAACAAGCATTTACCTTCTTCAGTCAGCAACATGCAAGTATGAATTGTCTGTTTTCAGTCAAGAATGCTCCTTCAATTTAACACAGGAACTAAACTTCATAATTCAAGAACTCTTAAAAACTATTTCCTTCAGATTTTTTTTCCTAAGCACCAAAATATCAATTCCAGACTAAAACCTCTTGTGTTGAAAGAGTAATGTGCCTGTAGTATGCCTAAATCATGAGGTATATTTACTTGTTTTATGTGAATTACAAAGACATAGATCACATTAATTCTGGTTAGAAGACTGCTCAAGATGTCTGCAGAGCAGCTGCTGCCTCAAACCAGGACCAGCTATTATGAGGAAAGGGCTCAGGCTACTGAGAAATTTAAAGCTGTACAGCCTTTGGAAAATTCCAGCAATTACATTTTGCTTTCACAAAGTTATATGAAATTTGTTTTTACACATGTTTTCACCTAAAATCCCCTGAATGTACCACTGAAGCCTCCTACTTATATGTACTGTAGTTAGTGGTCTGCTCCCCACTCTAAATTTCCTGGAAAAATAGAAGCATTACCTTATTGAGCACAGGCTTTGTGGAGAGAACATCATAAATTGCAGGTAGGGAGAGATTCTGAAAGAAAATAATACACTGATATTAAGGGGCATTACCTGTTAATGTAAATGCTGAGAACTAACTTTTCTGCACTTCACTTAAATAACACAATGCAGTTTTAAGAGTACAAGATACCTATAACACTTTGATATCAGAAGTGAAAAAAAATTGACCAGACCAGATCTTAGTAGAGCATGGCACATTTAAGGGTGTTTGCTGCCCCAGAGTGTGTACTTGAATGTCACTGGTAAAACTACCCTAAAAACACCAAAAGTTTTTCTCAAGGTATCTCTGAGTGTACCCTCCTGCATATGCAGCTGCTGGAGATACTTTCAGAAAACCCACCTAGATGAAATGAAAGCCCAAAACAAACCAACCAACCAACCCAAATAAAATCCCGAAAACCCAATCCCCTCTAAAACCACAACTAAAACCCAAATCAAAAAACAATACCCCAAAAAACCCCAAACAAATAAACAAAAAACCCACAAACCTTCCCCATGTAAAGAGGCAGCTTCTTCTAACCCAGAAGCAGAGACAAGTTACCACAAAATCATCAGCCACTTGTGTCATCACAGCTGAGCTTGAAAATAACCTGAATGCTCCTGGCTGTGTCAGGTCAGTAGTGCAAGCTGGGAGTTTCAGACCAGCAGGATGTGAGGTTTTTGGAGGATGATTACCTCTTGTGTTGTCTGGTTCAGGCATTTCATGGCAGGTCCTCTACGATTATCCAGCACCAGTGGAGGCTTCCAGCGATCATAGTTGGTTTCTACCACATACCATGTGCCCTTCTTGATATCAAGGCTGGAAAAGAGGTCTAAGTTGGTGTTTTGCTTCTCTAAGTATATAGCAAGTACACATATACAATATATACTATATACAGATACATTATATTTTTTGGCTTGCTGTGGTATTTTTCAATCATGGTAAGGAAGTGAGTTCTACAACAGAAGTCACAAGAAAGAGAGCACACAATTATTGGTGCAACCTGTTCTCTTCTGGAAGGCTGAGTCAGGTGTCAGGTCAAGCATACTCACTCCCAGATATCCAGAGCAGCTGTCCTGGATCGAGTTATCACACACCCTTCTCCAGAATTTTTTCCTCCCAGAATAAAGTAAGCTGGAGCCAGCAATCTTGTTTTTGCCAGTCTGTCTTTTGCATCCTGGTAACTGTGGGTAAGATAATGTTGGACTATTAAATCCTATAAATAGTTCAAGTACTGAAGAGCAAGTTCCACAGAGCCAGGACAAGTGTGGGTAGTTAAGCCTTTCTTCCCTTTTCATGCATATATGAGGAAACAGGATCATGATAAAGGAACACATTTAAGCAAAGCTTCTTGTCTCATTTTGTACTAAAAGTAAGATTGTTTAGAGGTGCTCTCTGCACTTTTTCTACACTTTAAATATGAGTACAATGATGACATACTGTGTCATATTGAATTGATTTGTTCCATCACTGAATTGATTTATTACATACCAGCTTTGTTTCTGCTTGCTTCCTACAATGTACTAGTACCTGTTGGATGTGCTTTGATGCAGAATGCTGTTACCCATTTTGATTACCAACAGGCTCATCAGGAAAAAAAGAAGTTTGAGGAAAAATGTTTGAGGGATCACATGTGATGCTTTGCCTCCTGCTCCAGAGTACCAGCAATACCAGAACTATTTAAAGGTAAGGCCACTAGGAAGGTATCTCTATCACTGGATATTAAGCATACATCTACAGTATTCATGCTAGTTGAATGCAAAGCAGACTAAAGAAGCAAAATATTTAAAAGGAAGGGAATACCTTGTAGCATTCTCTAATACAGTTCTTGTAAGAAAGCCCATCCACATACCATCTCTTCTACCAAGAAACCATTCAAAGATTCCTGCAAAATATCAGAATAATTTGTTTTCAGACAGTTCACTCATGCTACTCTAACTTCCACAGCTGGTTTTAAAGTAAGCTGTGTTTTATCTAACTCATCTGCAATCTTTTCACCATTTGTGTGCCTGTTCATTAAGGAAACTGGTTTGCCCAGGGTCTGGAAAACTTGTGCAGAAATAATGAAAGAAATGAGCATTACTCACCCACATAACCACCATCAAGACTGAAACGCTCATTCATTGTCAGAGTGAACAAGTTCTGAAAAGCATTAAACAAACAAGCCAACCTTCAGCCATTGCCAGCCCACGAGTACCAGTAATAAACAAGAGGCAGCATTGCAATTTAGATGTCAATTGAGCTGCTTGTTTGTTAGGCTCTTCCCCTTCAAATAACAGACTGCAAGATCAGGCTCATGTAGAGAAGAACCTAATTTATCAGGGCTTGAATAAGTAGAAATTAGTTTTCTGACCTGGCAGACAATCAGCAAGGCATGCTTTTATGCTGAGCAAGTCAAGCCTGTGGCCATTTTTTCCTCTTGGTCTGTGTTATATTGCTGAATTAGCAGTTTTCCTTTCCCTGCTGTATGTCACCTTCTTCTCTGACCTCTGAGTACTATTCTAATTTGAAGGCAGATTTTTAAGCCCCAGTGCTAAGCACACCCTGCTATGTTACTGCTATTTGCATGGGGGCATGCAGCTGCACACACTGCAGGCCATGCTAGCTGAACACATACAATTCAAACTCAAATCCCAGCCTCCTGCAACTAATGTTTCAGACAAAAACTGAATTCAGCTACCCCGGATTTCAGGTGCCCATTAAATGAAAACCCAAGAAAAAAAATCTTAAAATGCAGGACTGCCTTTTCCAAGAAGGATTGGAGAAAGAATTAAATAGCACAAGTGTGCTGTTCCCCCTGTGGGATCACAGCATTAGCTATTAGCCAGCAAGAACCTCTAACCACTTCAGCACTTCGCATTCACTCTTGTTCATATTCAAAATTCAATGCTGTTTTTAAGGACTGTCCAAACAGAAACATTTCATTTAGGCAATCTCCTTTCACAAGGAAGAGTGCAGCATTTTTTTCTTTTATCTGTCTTCAAGTAGCTATGCTGTGCACCAGAACAACTTAAGAGATCATTTATTGGAAAACATCCCAAGGCACAGCATGAAAGCAGAAAAATTAAAATATTAAAGGAAAGTCTGAAGCATTTGTAACAAACTGACAAGGCTCCATTCCCATACTTACTGGTTTGACTCCAGACACCATGCCTATGTATCCTGCAAAATTTGTGGACTTGAACACTGTTTTGTTGTTTCTCTGAAAGTCCAAGAGTACCACTAAAGGCTTCAGTTCCCGAGTTAACGTCCAGGAATTATTTTTAACATCCCACCTGCAGGAGACAGTACAGCACTTGAAACTTCCCTCAGGAGTTTTCAAAGCTTCCCTTCACAGCATGCATTCATCCTGTGTATGATGCCGGTCCTCTGATCTAACTCACATCAGGCAAGATCACTGCTCTGTAGTTACCTGAGCAGCACCAGCTAGGAACAACTAAGAAGTCTAAATGCAGAGGCTGGCAGTGAAAAGAACTAAGTTTTGTTTGAACCAGGAGCACATATATATTGCTCAGGATTAAACAGCACCACCATCACAGCTGGTTTGTTTTGAACACATAACTTTGTTCTCTACCTGCTAGCAAAGGCAGCTACAGCTCCTGCCTGTGACACCAAACCTCAAATTCTTATTTTTCAAAGGCAGAAGAGAAACCATGTACTACTGGATTTGCTCTATGTGAAGAGAAGTACCAATTCTAGTTTGTAAAATTAGCCAGACCAATTTGGAGGCAAAAGGTTGATACAGAGCACTTAGCAGACTGTTAAAATCTTTGGAAATAATCCAGACTCTGGGAGCAGCTTTGAAAGTTTGCTTAATTTTCAGGAAGCATGTTCACAGTATTTCTGGCAAGTCAGAGAAGTCCAACACAAGCCAAACCAAGGGAGAGGTGGAGTCACAGTAACAATGGGTGAACTTTTAATAGGTAGGTAAGAATTTTAATAAAGATGAGTATTTAAGTTCCAATTGTGCATTGAGCATCATCAGGATGAATGATGTCACAAAATATACTGGGGTAATAAAAGCAAATGCTGAACTACCTGATCAGGAGCATGAAAGGAGAACTAATGAGTGCTGGGCAACAAACTACAGAGTTGGTATGGAAATGAAGAATGAGGGGAAATGTCCGTGGAGCACGGTACAGTAACTGGGGGGGAGGAGTGGGGAGGAAGCATTAAAATGCCATGCCCCAATCCAATCTCCGTGTCACTGCACATATTAAAATTGATTCTTCATCCCATCATGTAAACAACAAGATATACTGTGCCTCAGAGATCAGGTTACATGGGCCATTCTTTGGTTTGACACAGTTTGAACTGCAGCTGAGAAAAAAAGTAAGTAGCAAAACACAGCTGTTCCTGATGCATTTGGGGCAGTTTGACATAAGATCAGTAGAACATCCTGATCTTTTAATTTTAGCCTTTTTTTACAACACACAATGGAGAATTACTTGTCACAGTCTTACAGACATCCAAAGAAGACTCAAAGAATGTATGTAGCTATTTAAAGTTCAGCTTGCTTTTTCTTTGAGTTTTAAAAAAAAGTCACAAGTTTAAGTACTTACCCTAGGAAGAGTCCAAAATCCAAGTTTCTGGCATGGTACAGCTTTCCTATACAACAATAAATAATTAAATATAATTTTCCAAACAAATGGACAAATTTCAGCTTAGAAACCCAAGAAATGAGTAAGCAAATATCTGGGAAAGTGTGCAAAGAAAATAGCATTCTCTTTTCATAACCACAAAGCATTTGTCCTTTTCATAACCACAATATAATGATGGGGGTTTATTGGTCAGAAAAGTGTTTTGCCATAACTGAAATCAAGTCATCTTGCAAACTGCTCTCCATCTCAGCCTCTAATCTTTCCATTATCTTAATGCAATGGCAACACCTTGAGCTTCCTCTAAAAGTGAGATGTTTGTAAGCCCTCTGAGAATCCCTTAGAAACTTCCTAAGTTGGAACAGGTGCAAACAAGGGCTGCAGAACTAAGTAGGAGAATGAAAGAGTCTCTTTTCTCAGAAGAGACTGTCCATTTTCTCTACCAGCATACACATGCAATATCTAGAATCTAGATGCAAAATCCTGCATGGCACTGAGAAAGTTTCAAGTGTGTTGCTGGTGTTTCTTTCCCCTAGAAAAACCAAATACCACCTCTTAAAAAAACCACAACACCCCAATCACAAAAAACTCACCATCCAACAAAACCAAACCCAAACTATCTTTGAAAGTATTTTTGTCCTTTTTTTTTAAACCTAAGACACTTATGAACCCTTATTCCCTTTCCTCAGGAATACCTTTACTTATCAGTCCTTAGGCATTATTATTACTTAGGCATTATTATTACCTTTTATTAATATACCTATTGTTACCTTTTATTAACAGACCTTACTGGCTGCAGTTGAGGAGGACTGTATTTGCATAACTGAGGGGGACCCTCTTCTACATAAAAGAAAACTGTTAACATGATTTTGGATTGCATTACCTGTTTTATCTTCTGCCACTATTGATGTACATACAGTAAAAATTTCATAAAAAATGTTAAAAATAACGATTTCCCCTAGAAAAAAAAAAAAAAAAGAAACAAAGTTCAATAGTTTGAAACTTGCCATGAACAGAAAAAAAAATTGTTAGGAAGAAAGCATAGTGCAAATTCATTATTCTGTAATATTTCTGTTAAACATTTCAATTTAGATCTCCTTTGATCTTTAAAATGACTGGTTCAGCAAAATCAAGAGCTTCCCGAAAAGCACACGAATACCCTGACTTTCTGCCTCACCATGCACAAAACTGACAGTCATTGCTGCTTCCTCCTCTGGAAACCCCAAAACAAGCTATAAAATTGACTTTTAAAGTAGAAAGCTGCAACATGCACCACTACTGCCATGTCAGAGCTGCTGCCAGCAGCAGGGGTGGTGCTCCTGTGTGAGGGAAGCAGTGCAAATAGGCACTGCTCTTTCCCCATCTCAGTTCTGGAAGAACTCGGTGCCTGCTCATCTGGAATGGCATTCTTTTGCAGGAGGCACAGAGGGAAGGCAGAAGGACATGGCAAGGGCCACAAGGGAAAGAAAGCACAGCAGGAAACTGAGCCTTGACTTCTCTCTATGTCAACAGCAGACACACAGCAGAGTGTAAAACCAATGAAAATAAAGGATTCCCTCAAATTCTGGTGCACACAGCTGAGACTTGCTCCACTTCCCAAAACCTAGGAGAACTCACAGCTCTACAGAGCAGTCCCAGCCTGATAAAAGACTTATGTGATTTATTTCATTCTTCTCTAAAACACTGTTCTTGTTTAGGGTGAGGTGTAATTTATTGCTTTAACTACTTCAGTAATGACTTCTTAAAGTCACAGCTAACTGCATATTGGTAAACTCATTAATTTTAAATGAGTCTGTATTCCTAGCTTTCCACTGTGTTAATCAAGTGTTGGAAACTGTTACCCAAAGGAATCCCAGAGGAATTTGCAATCCCTTGGAGCTCTTCATTGAAAGGATAAGGAAGTGTAGCAGTCAGATGAGCCTGAAAGGAAAAGTTTTTTTGTATGATATATGTTCAAATTAACAGTATTTTGTTACTTACAACAAATGTCTCCTCAACAGACACACTTTTCTCCCAGCTATTGAGTGTTTAATTTCTCTGCAGCCTGTAGAACTTGAGGATGTTTGCAGAGTACTTGGAAGAGAAGTATACACTTCAGGGAATAAAACTCTTACTTATCAAAACGCTGACGTGAGCAGTGGACATGAGCACAGCCTCTCTCTGCAGCAACAGACACAAAAGTGAAGCAGGACTCGGATACATTAAAGCTCAACTGCACTGGAGCTCAATGCCAGCGTTTATGGGCATCCTTGACTTTCACACATTGGCATGGCAACCTGTAAAAGCTGCATTTATGTCCACGCAGGCACACAGGGATATGCTGTAACTAAAGATGGGGTAGAGATGTGACCTTTGGCTGTCTCCAACCCTACACTGCTTTCTCCTGTTCCACGCCAAAGCGTTGCTAATCAGAATCAAATTAATTTTTAAGGTGAGACCTGGTCAAAGTTGTGCCTGTAATCAGACATTTATTACAGTTTTCAAAACCTGACTTTACTGTTTAAAAGAAGTGGAACATGGTAAAAAATTTCAGTCAAGTGTTTTGCTACAGTTACTAAGGCTGTTGCATATTTGTCTGGTGTTACTAATCCAAACTTGAAAAGATCTTAGGAAAAATTAAGAGGAGGAAGAGACCTGCATTTTTTGTTTAATGGTTTCAGCCATTCAGAGTAGATAACAAGGCAAAATTTCAGAGTGACTGTTTGAAATAACAATTTTGTTCTGTTCCTGAAATGGAATTAACAACTTGTAAATTAATAATTTTGAAAGTTCTTAATTGCCAGATTCAGAAGCATTCTAATTCTGTAGTCCGAGCATACAGTAATAAAATAATTAAGCTGAAAATACTTACTATTTTGTTATCCACTATGTCAACAACTTTGCCACTGGGAAAGAAGGTATTTGCTATATCTTTAATATTCTGGACCACAGTCTTCAGCTAAAAAGAGCAAGGACTTTTGTTGAATAGAAGGTCTTAAGCATAAAAATTGCTGGAATACTAACAGAACTCTTTGACAGGCTTTTGAAAAAAAAAACTTTGTTGAGAAAAAAAGTTTTTTTTTACATATTTAAATAAAGTGCTAAATGTCACCTTCTTAGTGAGACAAATACCCCCAAGTCCCCACTAGAATCACTCTCCAAGCTCTGTTAAGTAACTTTCCTGATTAATTCCAATGTGTCCTTCTACCAGAAATAACAAATTACAGGACAGCCATCCTCATCTTCTACTCCTTTGAACACATTTTAATACTCAGCACTCTTCTATCTTTCAGAATGCTAATTTCAAGTTCTTTGCTTAAGCACTGATGTTACTGAAGACAAAAACACTCAATAAACTTCTTATGAAAGCACATGCTTTCGATCTGCAACATGTAAATGTCACAAATAAGAGTTCCACTCCATGTGATCAAGCTCCAAAGTACACAGGAGATAAAACTCTTCAGAATTTAAGGCGAAACCTGAAGCTTCCAACGCCTTTTAAAATAAATATCAGCATGTAAGTAGAATTTGTCTGGCTTTCAGAGAGGAAAGTCCAAAGTCAAGGGATAGAGAAAAAAAGCCCTAGCCTTGTTTGAGAAATTAAAAATTACTCAACTCAATTTTCATCCATCTTCACCACAGCTGTTTTGGGCAGTTTGAAATAGGCTCAAATATTAAAAAAAATTATTTGTGCTATGTAAACACCAGTGCCACAACCAGCATTCCTGAAAAGGGTAGGAAGCTCTTAATTTCCCCCTTGCCATTTCATCATCTCCCACATCATTTTGAGAGAAGTAGGGAGGTGCAGAGAGGAAATGCTGCCTCAGTTTCACTTCAGTTTACCAAGGCTGTTCCTTTGGTGTATTGCTCCCTCTTCATTCTGCACCACCTCACCACTAAGGAGATTTGATAAATAGAATGGCACACACTTGTTTATGGCACACTGGTTTTTACACCTCTACATCCCAAACACCAGTGTCTCTACACTTGATGCTGTTACCTTAAGTGTTAAACAGAAAAAAAAATTTACTCAATCTATTATTTTGAACTGGGATCATATTAGAAAAGTCAACAGGAAATATTATCTCCTTCAGATACTTTTAGCACATGTATTCCTTTAAAAACTTTTCTCAAAACAAAAGGCTATGTGCTAGTTTTGTATCTGCTAAGCTTCAGAGCAGCTCTGCATTTCTTACCTCTGTCTTTTTGTCACGCATCAAGTCATCCCACCTTCTGCTGGGAGGTAAATCCAGATTTATGACATATGTGGGTATGTTACCTTTGAACCTGAGAGAAAAACACCAGAGATCAAATTTAAAGAAGGCGCTGAAAAAACATTTGACAAAACAGGTGCTTCCCACCTGTAACTAGCATTTTTTAGACCTGCAACAGGAACAAGTTTCAAGAAAAAACCCTGTTGAGACTTGCAAATTACAACTTCTCTGTAATTTGCTAGACAAGTTGAATCAGATTACTTACGTTGGTCCTGAAGGAGGGTACATTTTACTCCTACACTCTTCTCCATACTGCAAAGACAATGAAACATTACCTTTAGCTTCTTTGTAAAACACTATTATTCTAGTAGACTTAGTTTTGAATTAAACCTTTAAGACTAGTCAGTTAATTCAAACTCTTGGGATTTTGGAAAGAGGAAAATAGAGGAGGGACCAGCAGCGACTTCCCCATGCTGTCTGACAGACCTCTAGACAACTTGTCTAATGTACTCCATGGCAAGCACAAGGGTATGATAAATATACAAATTGTATATATTTTTACTCCATATGATTTAATGAAGAGCCCTACAAAAGCATATTCTTTATACAAGTTCAAGAAAGATCTCAGTACGGACCAGTCTGTTCTCTTTGTCCAATTACTAATCCCATTTTATAGTGTGATTCCTAATTATGTCTAGTATTAAGCTGCATGTACAGCTGGAGCAGGGAAAACATAATGAACTTTGGGCAATTCCTCAGCTGGTGGAATGAGCTGAGGATTCAGTGTGGAGAAGTGCTGCTGAAGTGGGGCTAAACTTTCCACGGGCCACAATTCAGGAATGTAACTGAAAAATATACCTTCATTCCTGGGAGCATGGCTAGTTACAAATGAAAGTTTGAGAACTATTTTAGATGTACTCAAAGTGAATGCAAGGTTGTTTTTCTATCAATTACATAAAGCATGCATATAAATATAATAAACATATGCATATATATGCCACAATTGTAATTCTATGTTCTACCCAGTGACACACAAGCAAATGCCTACTGGCCACCCACACCTGTGCTTCAGGCCAGTTGACAGCAGGCCAGGTTTGGTCCCAAAACTATGTGAGAAGTTCTGTAAGCTCCTTAGAGACTAATATATCTCACTAAGAAAAATACATCACACTAAAAAACATGTGCTGTTCTGGGAGCCCATACAAAAGCTCCCAAAGCACAATTGTTTGGGAGAGAGAACACAAACAAAATATGGAGCGATCCTTCCACCACTACTTCTCTTCCTCCCCACCCTTGATTTCCAGTATTTATTAGGCTGTATTAATTAGATTACTAGTGTGTCCTTGAAATGCATTCTGGTTCCAGTGAAAACTGTGACAACATCTCCAGCACCTACGTAACTGGGACAAAGAAGTTAACGCATGTCAATGTTCTCTCTGGGCTAATCTCATCATCTGTTTTTCATGCATTAATATAGAAAACACAGTGTCGTACACAATGCCACAGACTTGAAACAGCTTAACTTGTTACAACTGGAAACAGCAATTCTAAATTGGGATTGATTTCTCTGTGTTATAATATTATCTCTTTCTACTGTTTCCAGTTGGTGGGAGAAAGCATGAGATGAATTTTGGTTTTCCAACACACGAAGTGAAGGTATAGGAGCAGCAGCTTTGTGTTCCTAGATTTCACTGCAGTGCAGTTAACAGCCTTTGCACAGCGGGAACAAGAAGTCAAACACAAAAGGCCATTTAATTTTCAAAGTGAGGAAGCATCAAAACAAGGAGTGTAGGAGGGATATCAGATGACTAGTTAGGCAACAAAAGTCAGAGGTTTTGTGCAAAGCCAGACAAATGCTTAACAGTATTGACGCAACTGTCTTGTGCAATTTTCCATCCTGCAATTCTAAAATCCATCAGAAAGAAGTGACATTACATATACATCCTACTGGAATGGATGCACACACTTGGACCTTCAGGATATATCTCCATCAGAAATATGTTTCCTGACAGATAAAGCTTCTAAAAAACCAGTTATCCAAAGTGGATCGGAATTCTCTTGCTCTGTCAGTAGAGCCTACGCTCACAGAGGAGACAGTGGCACCTGTGCAAAACTGATTTCAGAGGATTTTAAGCTAAAGGTGCTAAACGTTATGTCACTCCTGGCACCTTCCCCTGAGATTTTAATCCTGTATCTGCACCTATTTTTATCTTCCCAGTGCTTTGCAGCCTAAGCTACAAGAAAAGGTAAGGAATGCAACAGATAAAGGGATAGAGAAGAGAGAAAATGTTCCCTCCTTCCATGTGGTAATTTTAGATTTCTAACCTATGTATAAAGAAAGGCAAGGAAGTCAGTAATTCCTAAAACAATCTGTACGTCTTTAGAAACTGATTGAGGTATCTGAAGAAATTAGAGTTAATAATAACTGTTTCTTTATGTTAACTATTACATCACAGAATCACAGAATATCCTGAGTTAGAAGGTACCCACAAAGGATGATCAAGTCCAACTCCTGGCCCTGCACGGGACAAGTCCAAGAGTCCCATCCTGTCCAAGTGCATCTTGATCTCTGACAGGCGGTGCTCCACCAGCCTCAGTGAAAAACCTTTCCCCAATACCCAATTTAAACCTTCCCTGACACAGCTTCAGGCCACTCCCTCAGCTCCCATTGTTGATCAGCAAGAAGAAAGGATCAGTGAAGGGATCGGTGTCTGCCCCTTGTGAGGAGCTGTAGACTGCAATCAGGTCTCCCCTCAGTCTCTTCTCCAATGAGAACAAACCAAGTGACTGCTACAGCTCCTGGCACACAGGCAGCAACTTAAAAAGATGTCAAGACAATCGGAAAACTAGAAGTGGGGTGTTTTGTTGTTTTGGCTTTTTTACACAAAGTTCTAACAAGAAATAAAAAAAAAATGTTATCTTTTGCAACCCGCTAAAGATTATCTGCAAAGCTTTCTGAGAAGGTAAAAAAGAAAAAAAAAGACACCTAAAGAATTAGCCGGAATCAGCAGAAAATCCATCAAGCACTTTTTATAATCAGAGTAAAATAAGCAGCTATGAAGTTATCACTGTGGTCAGTGGGGCTCTCCTCTCTGCAGAGGCTTGACACTGGAAGAACAACAATAAATGCTGTCCAAGAAAGCCAGGACTGTCCTTCCAGCATGACAGAATCACCTTCAGCTTCCAACGTGAAAAGCCAGAGGTCATTCCCTAGAAAAAGCTATTGGCAGCTGGGCCCAGACAGCAGATTACCACTATAAATGTGCTTTTCAAACACCCACTGAACCCCCTAAGAGCAATACAGCTACTCTTGAATGGTGATTTAATGCTCCCTTTGTTTTGCTTTTAAAATGTACTCTTACCAGCAGGTTGCATATCTTGATTATCTTACATACTGCCAACTTTGAAACTGAGACGTATGTAATGACACAAAACCAGACGTGTGACAGCACGGGATCGAAACGTTAACAGGAAGATAACGCAGTGGAGGAGAAGTAGAACATGGTATGGGAAAATATGGAAATGAAAAGTGGAAGTATCACAGAAGATTTATATTTTGACTGATTGTATAAAAAAGAAAAAGTGGAACAGTTACAAGTAACTTAGCAAGCTGTTGAGCATCTCAAACAAAAATAAAATATCCAAGCCTAATA